GTATATATAAGTGAAGGCCAACTTTCAGGCCGATCGGCTGAAGTAAATATATATAGATATAGAGAAAATACATGTTAGTGTATAAGGATCATTTATATGTAGTAGAAAATGTATGTATTTATATATTCCTTAGAGTGGATGTATGTGTGGAAGTTATGGTGGGAGAAGAACGGAGTTTGAAGATCTTCGGAAAAACTATGTAACGACACTTCTCATCGAGAGATTAGATTGCTAAGATCACGTCATTGTAAACCTCAATTTTATATTTTGAAGCTTTTAATATTTTGTCAACTCGAATAATAAATTGAAACCAACTAAATAATTTTGATCAAAATTAAATTACGTCTAAATAGAATTCTTTTATTTAAAATTATTCCTTTCCCGCACTGAAACCGAGTATTTTAATACTCCCGGGCGAAAGAACTACAGTAAGTAAAGTTTTAAATAAATAAAAATAACATCCACTAGATGGAAGCATAACACTTTCTAATAAATTATATACATTCAATACTTCATATATGGGTGATTCTCTGTAAGGATGTTTTTTGCTGTCCCAGGCACTTTACTTATGTATTAAGTAAGAAAGTAGCTGTCGGTAAAGTAAGTTTGTTAGGTAACTGGCGGTGAAGTAAATTTAAATTTATAGTTAAATTCAAACACAATATTTTTACACTAAATAAGAATAATTCTTCTTGAAAATATTTATTTTTTTTATTTATTAAAATATGTAAGGATTGACTATCGAAATAAAACAATTTATCGCTTATTTAATTTGAAATTATTTATTTTTCTTAATAACAAAATTTTTTTTTTCAATTATATAAAATAGTAAAATCAGAGTGTTTGAAAGATTACAATACATAGTTTATTTTTATTGAATATTCAATATGATTTGATCATCGTGTTTTCCGACTTCCCGCTCGCGTTGATTTTCTATTATGATTTTTATTATATTATTAAGAGTAGGCCGTACTCAACATATTATCAGAATTTCATTTTTCTAATTAGACCTTAAATAAATTTGAGAATTGAAAAATTCAAGGTTTCCGAGGAAGTAAATATGAAAAATTTACTCGGAAGCCTTAAATTACTTAAATAAAAACTATTCTTACAAAATTATTAGAAAACTAAGATTTTATAAAACGGTTCACTACGGCTCAGCCTTAAGGGCCAGTTTTTCAATCCGAGATAAAATTTTATCCGATGCTAATATATATCTGTATATTTCATGTATATCGGTACATAGATATACTGGCAATAATAATTTAATCCTGAATAAAATTTTATCTGGGATTGAAAAACTGGCCCTAAGTTTCTTGATTTTATCTATAGAGAGCGTTGCAATCAACCCCACAGAAACACAACAACGTGCTACGTGTTCACTGTTCATCATACATAGTAGTGCAGTCGTTTTATTTAATAGCATTGGTAGCTTAGTAAACTTCAAAATGGATGGAGTGATTGACAAAGTATTGGCGCAATCTAATGAAAGTCTTGCGGAAAATGAAAATTCAACATCAACAAGAATACCTTCAACACCAGAAGGAATGGCTTTAGCATACTGTAGTCTCATAATAATGGCAATATTGCCGATTTTTTTCGGTAGTTACCGATCTGTAAAGCACCATAAGGAACAAAAGGTTAGGTATTTTCATTAACATACAATTTTCTCATTATTGATTATAAGCGTACGTGGCATATTCACGTTTCATCATTATTGATGATTTATTATATGACTATTAAAATATTTGTTATGTTTTCATTCTTTAACAGAAAGCATTTGAAGCTGGAGGTGAAAAACCAGAAACTATGTCACAAAAAGATGCTGCAATGTTCCCTTTAATTTCCAGTGTTGCGCTGTTTGGATTGTACATTTTTTTCCAGGTAATTATTATCGATACTTTATTCTATTCAACTGATGAATCTTAGTTACAATGATTAATTGCTTTTAGATATTTTCCAAAGAGTATATCAATCTGTTATTGACAGGATATTTCTTTTTTCTTGGAATACTGGCACTTTGCCATTTAACGAGGTAAATATTAATAAAATCTTATTTTATCAAACACTAAATACCGTATTTTACATATAGTTCGTATTTTTTAACAAAACTACCAATATAATAAATTTGGTGATCATCGTTAGCGTTTTTCAATGTTATTGAATTCTAAACATATGGGGTATCTCCTCTGAATAAGAAATTAGAAAAACGGTAGACCCTGAAGGCCATCCGTGCAACTTCCCGCTAATTTCATACCTAGGTGCTTAAAATTGCACTAATGATGTTTTTGAGCTCTCCGAGAAAAAACCACTTTCAAAAAAAAATTTTTTCCGATTTTTTTTTAGATTTCTCAAAATTTCTCAAAATCTACCGGTCCGAATCGATTCAAATTCACAGGAAATCTAAGTTTGAGGGAACGCATTAGAACGCCGTTTGGTTGGTTCCGATCGGTTCAGTCGTTCAAAAGTTATAAGCGAGTCACATAGTCACACACACACACACACACACACACACACACACACACTAGTTTTTAATATTTATCGACACAGCCATTCACAAGTTATTTAATAAACTTTTCAAAAATTTACCAGTCTGACAAAAATTCAAATGTTACATAAAACTACACAAGCATTTATGTAACCACGGTAAATATTTAATGATTTTCCCGTACCGATATATGTATAATGTCTTATTTCCACATTTGTCTATTTGTGTAATCTAAGGGTAGTACTGTTGGTCATAGAATTATTGTTCGAAATTTAATGAAATTTTATATATTTGTAGAGTATTGTAAGATAATATTGAAACTTAATTTTTTAAGAGCTATCGAAAGTCATCGAAAAGATATTGAACTTCTAAAATTTTTAGTAATGAAATTGAATCTTATGCGGAATCACCGTTATTGTTCTATTTTACAAAAGAAACCGTTTAGATTACAATAAGAATTTTGACAATAACAGAAAATAACATATTAAATATTTTCCATAATCGAAAGAACAGATTCGGAGCCTGTCATATTAGTAATTCAATAAAAAAAAAAATTAGGACGACGGTTGACCCTAATAAAAGCCATCCCTGCAACTTTCCGCTCATTTTGTGATTGAGCGCTCAAAATTACATATTACCTTTTTGAGCTCTTCGAGCTCAAAAATATCATTTTCGTGTCATGTTGAGCTTTTCAATCTCAAAACTCTAATAGCAGTTCAATAAAACACAATTTTTTTAATTTTCAAACCGCAATAACTTTTGAATGAATTAACCGATTTTTACGCGGTTGGCGGCATTCGACGTAGTTTTTTCAGCCTCATAATTAATCGTTAAGTTTAAATTGATCGAACTAGGAATTTCGGAGTGATTCCGAAAAAAACATTTAGTAGATTTCATAAAAATCTAACTATTGTATTTGTCCTTATGACGTAACTTTTCATAAATTTTGCTATATTTCGACTTAACTGACTCGACGAACTGAGTCAGAAAATACATATGGTTCAAAAGTATATATATATATATATATAACGCGGCTTGTCACGACGATAGAGTCAACAATTCTTAAGGGATCTCAATGAAACTCAACATGCTTATTTTATCGACTATTAGGAAGGTCAAGTTCAAATATGAGCTTAATCTGTCAAATAGTTTAGAAATTACAGCATTTAAAAATTTTTAAATTTCGAAAATTTGATACTTTCACTACTTCTCCTTCAAATAACTTTTGAACGCGTCGAGTTATTCGATTCCTGTTAAATGCATCTGAAATCTGAGAAATTAAGCTTCAATTTATGTGCTCACATTTTTTTCTAAAGCAAAAAATATCCATCTTAGGATCATTTTTAAGAAATTTTACTCTTGCAGTCGTTTTGTCTATGCAAAACTGACTGAAAAGTACTGAAGTACAATAATTCTTCTCTTTCTTTATTGAACGTTATTAATTTTTTTTTGTATTCAATCCTAGTAGTTTTTAATTCTATTTATCATAAAATCTACTTCCATTTCGGCTGCCGAATGGCCTTTTTTTTTGCTTTTCTTTCGTTCACGATATCTTTCGAACGAATCAACCGATTTTGACCGGACTGGTGGCGATCGACGTGGTTTTTTGAGATTAAAAGCTGATTAGTTTTTGGAATCGATCAATCATGCCGTTTAAAAGTTATTCAAAAAAAACCACGTTTGAAAAAATTTTTTTTTGTAGTTTGTTTGAGATTTCTCAAAATCTACCGGTCCGAATCGGTCCAAAGCGTATTCAAAATCTAAGTTTGGTAAAGTCCTTTCGAATGGCGCCAACCGCGATGAAATCGGTCAAACCGTTCGAAAGTTATGAGAGGTTTACACACACACACACACACACACAGACGTACAGACGTACAGACACCATCGCGGGGGTAGTCAGGAAAGCTTCTTAGGGCTTCAACGTGACGTTGCATAAATAAATCTACTACGTAAATCAAACGAGTCTTTTTATTAAATATTCGACTCTTGCAAAATAAAAATAAATAGAATTGTTTCATTTTATGTTTTAGTCAAAAAATCTACAGGAATGGTTTTAACTGTGTATATTTTTCAAAACACGTTAATAAATTCAACAATTACTTAGCTGTCGTACTTTAAATAGCTGTACAATGCCATTAAGTTCTAATTTTTTAATTTATATTTTCTAGCCCCATCATCTCGTCCTTAGTACCAGCTGCAATACCAAAAACACAATATCATATCCATTTTACTGAAGGTGAAGGAGATAAGGTTGAGAGTATTATTGACTATAAATTTAATCTTCATGATATTGTGTGTTTAATCTGTTGTTCTATGATTGGAGCTTGGTACCTCTTTCAAAAAGTTTGTATAATAATCGTTTTTATTAGTATAAATTGTAAAATTTTTATTGATAACGAAAAAAATTTTTCAGCATTGGATTGCTAACAATCTCTTCGGTATAGCGTTTGCTATCAATGCAGTAGAATTATTACATCTCAATAATATTGTCACTGGATGTATTTTATTAGGTGGTCTTTTTGTATATGACATTTTTTGGGTATTTGGAACAAATGTAATGGTAACTGTGGCGAAATCCTTTGAAGCTCCTATCAAACTAGTATTTCCTCAAGACATGTTAGAACAAGGGTTTAGCGCTAAAAACTTTGCCATGTTGGGCCTAGGTGATATTGTCGTTCCTGGTATTTTTATAGCGCTACTACTCAGATTTGACCATAGCTTGAGTCGAAGATCCAACACTTACTTTTATTCAACATTCTTTGCTTATTTTATGGGATTACTTACAACAATGCTAATCATGCATTTATTTAATCATGCACAACCAGCGCTTCTGTACTTGGTACCTGCCTGCTTAGGAACTCCTTTACTGGTCGCATTAATCAAAGGAGACATCAAAACACTTTTTCTATATGAAGATCATCCATCTAATCCTACAAATGATGAAAAAATTGTCACCCCGTTAATTGAAAACTCCACTCAGTTAGACAAATCTAAGAGAAAAGGAAAAGTTATCGCAAAAACCGCTGAAGATAACGATAGCCAAGTTTGTATGAAGAAAGATCAATAAATATTTAGTATATTTAATTTATAGAGAAATAAATTATTGCGAGTATTAGATAAGAGTTGGTTTCATTGAATTATTAAGACGAATTTATTCTTAATTTAAACAACATATTCCAAATATTTGGTTTTATAATTTTATGTCTGCATTTTTATGGCTTTTATAAAACTAGTCAATGATGACAATATCAACGAAAATTTCAATATGTAAAAGTAGATGAAAAAACAAAATGATTTTGTTTCACGTGGAGAAAAAAATATCAGAATGACAATCTGACGTATTTTTTAACTTTTAACTTCTGAATCAGGTAATATTAGTATAATAATTTATTTCTGCCACTGTGGAAATCTGTGTGATGACCTCAACTATCGAATAGATTGAGATCGTTTAACAAAAATCGCTGAATTTGTGTAATTACGTACTCGAATTATTGCGGTCCCATTGACAACCACAATATATTACTTATGTTGCATGGTTTTAAGATTACTATTATGTATGAGTGAGTAGAAATTGAATTGTTAGAGAAAATTTATATGCTTTAATTTTTATATTTTTTTAGATTGAATATTACTTATCTGCCTAATAAAATTTTACTATTTCATTCATTTCCACTATTATTTAACCCGTAAGTGACTGTATTATTCTTTTTTTACTTATAAAATACTATAAGTAGAAGATTTACATCAGTAATCATTGTATATGAGTGAAAACTTTGTGTAGCGAAATAGATTATAAAATCTATCACTAAAAAATACGACTATACTGCGTATGGCCGACAATTTCGATGTATATAGTCACTCTGACAATATTATTCTCTCCATGTCGAAGAAATAACAGAGACTCAATCTTAATAAAAAATTCTTCATATTCGTACAAATTTATGAAGCATAAATAAATTATTTACTTTCTATTATGATTTTTTTATTATTGTTGATATTATTATTATTGATATTATGTTCCATTGTATTAGTTAATTAATATAAAATTAAAAAATTGATTTCAATAGTAGAAACACTGTCTTATACTTGTTATGTCCACTAGCATTTTTTTTCTTTAATCTAAATCACCCGCGCAGATGGAAGACTTCTCCATGCCTGAAAGCCACAATAGGGATCGTGCTTCTAGACTTTTACGCCAACTAGTGGCAAGTATCCGAAACAGTTGAGATCATGTATTTAACGTAAACATATGTGATTTACTTTTTAATAAATATAAATAAAAAATATTTAGTTTTTTTAAACAATGCCAGCTTCAAGAAGAAATTGTTGTATTCTTGGATGTAATAATACATCACGTCGAGAACGTGGATTCGGTGTGGAAGTGAAATTTTATAAATTTCCAGAGAGCATGTTAGGAGCCTCACGGAAAATATTAAAACGTAAACAGTGGATGAATGCAGTGAAAAATTACGTGTAAGTACAATATTAATTAAAATTTATAAAAACGAAATGCACCATTCAGTAAAATTATAACATTTAAATACGGCGTATGTAAAAATTGATCATTTAATTGATGAAATTTCAAATATTTGTGACATTTATCTTATAGTTATGACTTAACCTTTTAATTCTTTTCTTTGATTTCAGAGAAAATCCAAAAGACTGGGTACCAAATAAATATATGAGGATTTGTAGTACCCATTTTGTAAATAATGAAAAATCAGAGCATCCTTTACATCCATCTTATGTTCCTTCGATTTTTCCTGGACGTGAAAATATAAAAAGAAATATTCAATCCTTAGAACGTTTCCAACGAGCCAGGAATCGTGAAACAAACACAATCCACATCGATAAATATATTGTGAGTGAAAAAGAAAGAAACAACATAAACATTGACAATACGATGGACACAGTAATGGAGCAAGGTAATGAAGAACATGCAAGTCGTGTTGAAGAACATCCGATTGATATTCATGTTGAAACTGTTACGGTGAAGCCTGTGCAACGGAGCATAAGTTGTCAAACAGAGATAGTCACAGATGGAGCTTATGAAGATTTGGCATATTTTTTTTGAAATCTTAACTATTCTAACGATTTAAACACGGCAGCAGTACAGGTAAATATTCCAATAAAAAAAACACAAAATAAAATTTGTGAAGCTAAAATACCAATTATAAAAAATGTTAAAGATTCGAGTTGTGATCCAATAAATATAGACCTTAGTAAATCTTGTCAAGGTTTTCATGGACTCTCTTCAATTACTACTGACGAAGCAATGAGCAGTTTAACAGGTGTGACGTTAGCAATTTTTTCATGGCTTTTAACTATGTTACCAGACTGTAAAGCCTCTAAAGTAGACAAAAAAACAAGTTTCCTGATAACATTAGTCAAATTGAAGACGGGTTTATCATTTACTGCATTGGCAGTAATTTTGCAATAAATTTCTTTTTATTTTACTTTTATACTTACAGAAATTGTCACATCATAAACATTTGATACACTTGTCTGTGGCACAACTTTACCGGTTATGACAGTTTTAATTTTATTCTTTTTTTCAACAACACCGTACACATGCTTTGATTTGAATAATTTTTTACCTTTCTCATCATTCTGGCCATGTATTATATTATTGACTACAGGTTGAAATCCGTATTTTATTATTTTTTCCATTGTTATAACTTTTTTTTAATGTTATTAAATATTTGTTTTGATTTCACTATGTTCATCAATATAACACCAGAGAGCGCTCAGTCCGACAGTAGTGCTGCCTCTATATTTCACGCATGATCCCTATGTAACGACACTTCTCATCGAGAGCTTAGATTGCTAAGATCACGTCATTGTAAACCTCAATTTCATATTTTCAAGCTTTTAATATTTTGTCAACTTGAATAATAAATTAAAACCAACTAAATAATTTTGATCAAAATTAAATAACGTCTAAATAGAATTCTTTTATTTAAAATTATTCCTTTCCCGCGCTGAAACCGAGTATTTTAATACTTCCGGGCGAAAGAACTACAGTAAGTAAAGTTTTCAATAAATAAAAATAACATCCCCTAGATGGAAGCATAACAATGTAAGACAGGCGGTGCCGCAATCATTGAGTAAGTAACGAAGAAATTAATAGTTACTTGTTCGGTGAACAAGGCCCATTAGCGATGAAGTCGCTCCTGGGGGACTCCCAATTTCAAGAGCCGCACCTGCAACTGCTAGTTCCCGCAAAAACTAACCGCCTGCGCAAAGCTTGGCTTGACTGATCACGCCATGGATCGACCGCTTGATTGGCTGATCGCTCTCGCTAGACATGCACAATAGCCTTCTTCCCCAAGTCGACGAGGAAGAAGACGAATTATTATTATTATCTTTCGCTACAACGCCATTGTGTCTAACGCTTCGCTTTCCCGCTATTTTAATTCGCTTGAGTTATAAAATTCCGCTATTTCGCTTAAGGTAGTACTACCGTTACCACAAGTGTCAAATCCCAAAACCTAACCTTATTTGATTAACGTAGTAGATTTCCCTATTCTAAATTACGTTGGAGAAAGAGAGACAGATAAATTTTGAATGTTTTTTATTAACAGCCGAGACCAGTGATTGCAGTTTCAATCGGCTTAGCGAAACGAATAGAAATTTTGAAAAAAACGTTTTTAGAGAAAATAGATAATTTAATAAACTATTTCACCACAAAAAATTTTTTTCAAAAATTTCATTTTTTTTAGTGAAACCAATCGAAACTGCAATTGCTCTGCTGTTGGGAGTGCGACAGAGATAGTTCCGTTGAACTCCGTGAGAGCAAAGCGAGAAAAAGATGGTCTCGCCTGTTAATAAATATTCTCATATTCTTGGAAACCATACTGATTGTTACTAAACATGTTCTAGATGTTATTTCCTCTCGTTGTTTTGATTTTTATAAGAATCTGAACGTCCAGTTTTGTGAAATAAAATAAAGTCTGTGATTCTCCATAAGGATCAATCGTAGAAGCAAAAATATGTAGATATTAATATCTTTTTTTCAAGACTTGCTCGGCTTCCAAAAATTTTACTGTTTAATTATGATATTATAAATTACCAATATGCCAAATTTCATTAAATTCTGAACGTCAAATCTAAAACCGGTAGTACTACCTTAACTGATTACTAATCCGCTTTAATAAATTGTGCTTCTTTTATTTTGAGTCTGTTTCAGATAATTTGTGTTATTTGTGCAGTAATTCACCGCTTTTCCAGTGCCGGCAGTGTGTTCAACCACGTGTCAACCGGCTTCGCTTTATTATTCACGCAGTGCTTTATTTATCCGCTTTTATTTAAACAATCCGCTAAGAAACATATTAAATATAACTTGTATTTAGTGACAATAAATTTATAGTGTTCATTTTAATAATAATTTCCGCGTTTTAATTGAGATACCCTGAATAAAAAAAAGTATTGAGACAAAGAAAAAAGTATTGAAAAGAATTGGATTGACTAGAAAACCAATTCTTTTCAATATTTTTTCCTTTGTCTCAATACTTTTTTTTAATCAGGGTAACCAGTGATAACCTGATCCCTTAGTTTTTCCGCCTTTTCAGCATTTTACATTACTAAATTAGTATTATGAAAACGCTTTGACAAATAAATTTATCCTCATAAAATAATAAATTTATTTTTTACAATTTAGAAAAAAACTATCAATATAAGTATAAAAATTACATTAAAATAAAACTTTAAGTCAGGATAAATAACACCATAACGTAAATGTTATTTTTAATTCTTTTTTAATTAAATAATTGATCATCACGTTTGTTATCCCATAGGTTGAAGTTTCAAACTATTTCTTGGACTTTCTCCAATATCAAATCCGATATTTACATGTCCAGCATCACCAAAAACATCTTTTACTGAAATTTGACTACTACGAGTAGGTCGAGGTTGTATCCCTAGTGGGTTTCCAACACCGCCATAAATATTGTTTGCTCCCAAAGTTTGCATTTGAGACTTCTTTCTAAGAGCCATAATACTATTTCGTCGTCCCTCGAAAGCCTTAAACGCCTTCGTTGACTGACGAGTGGTCATATTCCGGGGCAGTTCTGCAAAAAATAAAATTATAAGTTATTCTTAGTCCCCACTTCATCAGCTGCTAATTTTTTGAATTTTCAACTTTTTTATTTTTTTCTGTATTCTTGTAATGTTAATAAATAACTTATAAAAAAATGGATTGTAAAAATATTGATTGCCTTTTTTTTACGGCACTTCAAAAAATTACCTGAAATTCATGCTTCCAGACTAGAATACCCCCTTAAATTTTTTGGTGATGTCTGATTTATCATCAGTTAAAATTTTTTTTAAAGATGTATTCAGATATAAAAAATTAACTCCTATATTAAAAAATTGAATTATTAGTTTGATATTTACCGTTCTCTTCAACCATACTGAAAAAGCGTTGCCGGAATGCAACATCCAAGGTATTTATTGCTTGTGTTTTTCGTCTACTTTTTTCAAGATTCCTAATAGTCTTCCTTCGACCAGGTCCACTTCCACTTCCTTCATCATAATCTCCTTCCATTCCATCCAGCCGCTGCAAATCTCTTACAATTTCCACAGCATGTTTCGATAGCAACGCTTCTTCTGAGAGATCTTTTGTCTATGAAATACAAACTTTATCTTAGAATAATGTCAAAAAATAATTTATTTTGTTTTTTTATGTAAAAATTTATTACCTTTTTACAACAATACCAACTTAACGGTGTACTGGCTAAAATATGTGCAAGTGTTCCGAATCGATGAAATAACATTGCACTGAATTGTATAATTAAAATGAGAGCAAAGAAGAAAACAAAGACTAAACCAATAGGTTCCAGTTGTAAATATTCTTTTGAGATGTGAACCTAAAATAATTATTTTGTTTTTAATTCGGATTTAAGATTATTATTTGATTTAACGAACACAGTCATGAATACACCAGGTTATCAACATCACTTTTAGAATATAGTTTTACTACTAAACAACAAAAAAATTTAAAAAAAAAAGAATATAGCGTTGAAATATTTTTTTAGTTATCTAAAAAATTAACATCTTTTACGTATGAAAAATGTCATGAAGATAGTAAAGAAATTTTTATTATAGCACTTAATATTCTAAACAGAAAATCTAAAAGAAAAAACTTTATACTTTGAAATGATTTTTTATCATCTTCATACAACGACTTTTCACAAGTTTTCTACCTTTCGAAATTGTATGTAACTAAAAAAATTTTTCACTCTTGTTGTTTCTTTAATTTTTTGTAAAGTGTAAATTTTATTTACATTTGTAAAAGCATTCATCACGAGATTACTTAAACTGTGAATATAAAATATGTGCTTTGTTTGATCACCGCAATACCGTATCCGTTATTTTACTTAATTAAATTATTATCATATTAGATACAGAATTTCAGAAACCTCCCCATAAGACTTTATCACTGTTTTTTCCCGTTCCAAATAATATACAAGTATGTAGGTTTTTACTGCAACTATGTATGAGATTAGTAATATTTTTTTCAATTTCACCCCCATTCAATAACTATTTTATTTATATATTGATAAAATTTGTGTTTTTTTAGTATTTTTCCCCAGAAAAATTGTAATGAAGTTTAAAAAAAAAATGCATTGCAAATTTTTATTAATAAAAGAAAGTTAATAATGTTTTCCATTATATTTATAAACTGTGCAAATTTGTGATTCCTAACGTTAGTTATTTGAAAATTATATGTAAGTCTGTGAATGTAAAAAATAGCACAAGTAACCCAAGAATAATTAACAAAAAATTGTGCATAAGAGGCCGGATTGCCGGTACCTCCGACGTTTCTTCTACGAAGGTGATGTTTGTCTTGATCCCCAAGGGCCACACAACGTGTAGCTGATCTTTGTTTAATTGAAGTAAAAATACGATCAATACAAATAACGCATTGAACATTAAAAATGCAAAGACACTCTTGTTTCGTAGTTCAATTAAATCCGCGGCGATCCGTGCCTGTGATTCCAGACATAAGAAACAAAAACTACAAATTAGTTAAATAATAGAAAAGCCCCGCTAAAGTCATCGTACTTGGTAGTTGTTGGATATCCAAAACGTATATATTCTATTGAATATTTTTTTTCATAGCAAGAAAGAAAAATAACGTTAAACAAAGTACGTGACAGAAGCGGAGCGGTGTTTACCTCTTGAGTGAAATCATCATAAGTAATATTAGTCTTGATACCAAATGGCCACTTGACATGTAGTAAATCTTTGTTTAACTGGAGTAGAAAAACGATGAGGACAAAAAGTGCATTCATCATGAAAAACGCAAATACACTCTGGTCTCGTAGATCTTTTAAGTCTTTAGCTATTCTTGCCTGATATCATTAATAATTATAAAAAAAAAGATCGTTACAAATTTTTTTGTAAAATTTGAATAATCCCAAACATTAACGAAATGACTGACAGATAATATAATCTATAAGATAAAAAAGCAAATTAAATATTGTTCCTATAGTATTTTACCTTCTCAGCTTTATCTTCATCAATAGGATAAAGATATTTCTCTAGTAAGTCTTTCCAAAATTGTTCTTCCTGCATAGACAAAACGTCAATTTCTCCTTTCTTTAGGCCTTCATCATGAAGCCAATAAGGCTGAGAATGGAAATTAACATCCCGAGCTACATCATGGGGTTGACTAGTTTCGGTTTCAGTGTCACTGACTGAATCATTCTGATCTTTACGAGATTCTTCTTCTATTGGCCCAAGGTGATCTGGTGCTCTAGAGCTAGCTGAAGAAGCTCGTCTTCGAGCTAGTATATGACCCTGAGGATCTACAGCTCTGAAATTTATGACAAAGTATATATCAAAACTGTCCGAAAATGAGTTGAAGTACATCAAGTATACCTTTCAATTATTTCTAGACGTTTGCCTAAATGCTCCAGAGAATCAGCAATTGCAATCAGTTGTTGTTTTTCATCAGAAGGTTTTCCATGCGTGCAGAGTAAACATTTAAATAGACCAGCAAAAGAAATCTCTATCGATCCTTGTTCATCATCATTAGAACCAGCACCATTTTGTAGAAATCCGAGTAAAGAATTTTGTTTTACTTTCCGTTTAGCTTCTTCAGCTTCTTTTTTCTCTTGATCAAGCTCCTACACAATTTATAAGAATACAATAAAAATGTAAAGACAAAATTTTTTTATAATTAAACAGCTTGGAACTCAGCAAGTAAAAGAAACAATAAAAGTCATGCTTTAGTATTTTCTGTGTTTAAAACACCAATTTTAGTTGAAATGAAATTTTTTAGTCATTTATCTACTTTTTTAATTCTAACTTCTTCACCTACAGAAATTAAATATAGGGCAGTTTATTCTGAACCAACAGTTTAACATTTTTACTTTTTCTTGAAGTAAATTTTAAAAATGCAATTTAAAAAAAAAACTTCTCGATAAATCAATTTTTTAAACAGTTGTGACTATTTGACAATAAAAAAACTATTTTTTTTAATTCACTACTTTTTATTAATTCGGTATGAAAATTTTTTTTAATCCCTGAGAAATATACTTAGTGAGGTAAAAAATTTTCAGTGACATCAAAATGGCGAATCAACTAGTTATTTTTCTATTTTTATTTTAAGAAATATACAAACCTTTTTGGTTTTCTTAACTTGAACTTCTCTAGTACCCCACGATACAACGTTTAAATTGATAATAGAGTATAAAATCAGTAACAAATACATGGAAGGAATGGATAATAAATAAATGATACCAGGAACAATACACCAAAATTCTTGTGGGTGAAGACAAGCGGCTATAAGAAATGAACTTGTTAGTGATATTAAAAATATCGCAGAGGGTGAGCCTATCCCATCTTCTCCGAGCTGAAGAGCTGTACCAACAATTACGGCCATCATTATCATAGCATATGCAGTAGATAATATTTGGGCACACAGTAACTAAAAGATAAAAAAAAATATAGTATTTAGATATGATTAACTATTATAATTTTAAAGTTATTAAATACGTGAAAAAATCTTACTTGAATATCAGCTTTACACGTGAAACAAATTACCATAAATAAAAGAATAGGTATTATGTTATAATAAAAGCTTGTCCAGTTGTCAATTTTGAAAGCTGCCACGAAAGCTCCCACTAACATCAGAAATATTGTTCCTGGTCCAAGTATGGTGCCACCTAAATAAACGATTTTATCAGTTCTTAACAATAAAATTGATAATAAATAGAAAATTTTCATTATACCCATAAGCAAAATCTGATAAGATATATATGGTAGAGAAATATTGTCATTAATTTTGATTGTTCGTTTTGCATCCATAAGCAAATCCATAATATTAGCAATAGTTGATGGAACCCAACGACGACGCTGATTATAAAACTCATTGAAACCTTCAGGAGCGTGAGTATAGGCATCACTGGCAGCCGAATATTCTACTCTATATCCTCTTTGAAGCAAAAGAGTACAAAGCCATCGATCTTCACCTTGATCATATTGCACATAATGTCTAGCATCTTCTGATTTTGTAGTATATTTCTTCATAACATTATCATCCATAAGGGCTTTTCCTCGAAAAAGTGAAAAACAACCAGGACTACAAAGAACGCAGCCTATCATGTGTTCAGTAGCTTTTTGTAACCAATGACCAATTGCGTACTCAAACATTTGATACCAAACCATAGGACCTGAACCTACCGGATGGATTCGACCGCAAGCAGCACCAAGGTTTTTATTCTTTTTCATCAAATCAACTAAAAGCTTAACAGCAGCCGGTTGAAAGTCAATGTCACCATCAAGAGTTAGAAGATATGTATTTTCTGCTATCATCTCCTTACGATCAACACTGATAGGAAGTTCCATTAATCGATGACCAAGCAAGTAATACATGTACATTACTTGACTCCATCGTTTTCTGTGCCGAATTTTATTTTTATCCTTTAAATGTGCTATCATTTTAGTTTTTCCTGGTAATGTCCATACAAGTCTACCACCATAGGGAGTTGGATATTTTTTAGGAGCTCTCACATGCATTCGAGTCTGATGTACATCAGAAGCAGCTTCATCTAATGTTCCTACTAAGAGTTTGACAAATCGGTTTACTTGAGTTTCATTTTCGTCATGATCTGCAAGTTCAAAAGCATCATCAAAGAAGATATGAGTTTCGAATTCGTAATAATCTGGGTCAACAACTTTTAAATATTTTTGAGCAACACGGCGAGCACATTGATCTTCATCTAAACGCAAGATACTTTTCAAAAATTCTATCATTTCTTCTTTATTTTCATGCCACATAGTAGCACATGCATAAATTCTAGTAACATGATCACTACTTTTTACTGCCGATGGAGGAGTCGTTGAACCATCAGTTTGTTCATAAATTGTCTCATAATCACCGTCACCCTTTTCTCTCTCTATTTCGGCTAGGTCTTCTACTTTAACTTCTGGCTGATCATCTCTTTTTCGATTTAATCCTAATGATTGATCAATTAACAACGAATCATACATAGGAACAACAAATAGTTTTTCTGTTGCCGCAAGTCTTTCACATTTTGGTGTCCAAATGTGAAGAGTGATCCAAGTTTGCGAAAGTAACCAAAGAAGCCATACCCAGGCATATTGTTTAGATATAAAATCATTAAGAAAATACAGTGGTGGTGATTCATAGAAAAGGTAATCAGGAATTGTGCCATGAAAGAAACAAGGATCGCCATTGCGTAAGCCACACGCAGTAATTAAAAGTGAAATAAGAACAGGGATAGTTAGATTCACAGGAAACGCATAACTGAATGGTTGTATTAAAATTTTGCATCCAAATTTACCTGAAAAAAATATTGACCTGTAATAGTCTGTACCAAAAAAATAGCATCTTTGATTTAACAACTTTTCAAATAAATATAATTGTAGAGGTTCACTGCAAACTTAATAAAATAATCGAAACCTTGCTAAATCAATTAACTAGTGTTTTTGGCATTATTTTTCGTAATTTCATATTTAAGTGAAAGTACTACATTGTTTTGGTAAATACTTACCTACAATATATGTGAAATACGATCCAACTATTTGAATTAATAAAACATAAACAATAGAGTTTAAGTCAGAATTAATGGTTTCAGTATCTCCAGTAGGTAGTATTTCTGAAAGATCAGGTATAGCTCCCACAACAGATTGGCGCACTCCGGTAACAGTAATTTTTTGCTCTCTAAACGCGGATCCAAACATTGTAAAAAAGTGTCCAATATTTTGGCCTTTTAAATGAAAAATAACCAGTGAACTGATGAAAAAGGCTATTATTTTCCAAACTGAGATAAATAAATATGTAAAATATCTTGTCAATCTCAATTCTTTTTTTACTCGACCCAATGTACGAATGAAGCCTAAGAAAAGGTTATTATTATTATTTGTTTTTTGATCGCTGTGTAATCAACTATATGCTCAAAAAAATTATTTTGTTAATCTTACCAATGGAACTTTGCATCGATACGTAGTTTTCCCACCAACCACAGGATACAAAAATCAATGTGGGTGGAATCAGCCAGAGACTCTGCTTGGAACTATCCAGTAATGGCCAAACAATAAATCCACTTACTTGGGCCACTAATGCCATCAAATCTACAAGAACGAGTATACATTTTCGTGACTCATCTTTACTACTACTTCTTGAGAGTAATCCAAGCAATCCTGGTACAAAGCAAACACAATTGGTAATCATTGCAGCCTTTATTGCATCTAATTCTGGCAAAACAGCAAAAAACATCGATGCCAGTCCAACAACACGAAACGTTTCCATAATAAACACCAACAAGAAATGTGAGGATATTGGTTTTTTCCATGATTTAAATATGCACATTCGACAACTTCGAAAAAAAGTTCCGAATTCAGGAGCAGCATAGGCAAAGATTATACACCAAGCCCATGCTATCCTTTGTTCTTCTGGTAATGTAACGATGAATTGCTTATCCCGTCCTAATTCTTTGTTACAATAAACTATTACACGATCAGATTTGAGTTGTGAAGTCATAAAAATGATAGCTCCTTTAGAAATAACTCCACTGACAAGAACTATTATAAAAACTAGAAGATACACAATTACTTTTATTATTTGGATCGTCGCATCAAGACACTTTTGGTTCGCCATGGAGCCTGAGTCAATTTTCGGTGGAGGGTTTCTGAAGACATCCCATGCTTTCGTTTCAACAATTGTTCGCTGGCTATAAGAAAAAATATTCAAATACATTATACAATATATTATAATTTAGTATTTTAAATAGTGTGAGACAATTTAAAAGGCCATAGGCCGATAAGTATAGTGAATCGGCCCCAGAAAGATATCTGGCTTATAATTTCAGGGTATGTTGGTACTTAGAAGATACTTCGATACTGCAAGTTTCAGCTCTTCATCTAATACCGTTTTCGAGAAAATCGAAAAAAGCTGAAATTCAGAAAAAAATGATTTTCTCAGAAACCCGTGAGCCGATTGATTTGAATTTTTAATATGTTTTGGGGGATGATGGTAGCTTCTAGGAAAAAAAATTATGAGCTATATTGGTTCATAAAAACCTCGAAAAAAATGGCGTTTTTTTTTTTTTAATTTTAATTTTTAACTATGATAGAGTTCTGGCACAATTATGAAACTATTTTTTTTTAATTCCTCATCCAATTTCCTGTGGAATTATGACTTTTACGAATATTAATAAATGGTACGCCATGTTGAAAAAAAATAGAAAACCATTTTTTTATGGTTCCTATTATGGGAATGACGCACATAATAATAGAAAAAAGTTTATTTTCTTAATAATGAAGCAATCACTTCAAAAATATAAAGTAATTATTATGTAAAATAAATATTTTAAGATGAGTATTAATTAAATTGTACGAAAAAATGTATGGCCTTTCTCAATAAACTTTTTCTTTTTATTGTTAAGCAAAATATTTTTCACGAATATTATAAAAAAAATCAATTTTTTTGACTTTTTATAAAAAATATGTTGAAATTTTAGCACTCAAGTTTTTTTTATATTCGTTCAGAAATTGAAATTAAAACTTCAAAAATCAAAATTTTCTTTCGATAATTATATAAATTTATTTTACAAGTTTTTACTCTTAATTGCTGCCGAGAATGAGCTCGTTTATTTTCTGGCAAAACCTACCAAAGCGCTTAGTTGCTTTATTTCGGAGAGTGTGAGGAAACCTATAGTCTTAGAACGAAGTGCAAAACCGGTAGTTAGACCAATTTCCCAATTAAAGTGTCGGCTGAAAAGGACCTATACTAACTGGACGCCCTTGGCATTCAGTGGTTTGGCGGATACCCTCTCTTTATACAGACCCAACACCCTGCCGGAGTTCCGCGTGGTTGCCGCAGCGTAGGAACACTAAGAAAGTTACATTATTGCGGTGTTCCGGGCTTTACGCCCCATATACTTCCCGGTCGCGACCGTAACTTAGATTCAACCAGTAGAAACAGCCGGCTTTTCTAGGTAATGGAAGGCATGACTTAAAGCTAGTCTGTCCATACCTTTGTTTTGTTTGTATCGCTAACTCTTTTAAAAGTTTCATACTTCCGATTTTCGATGCTTTTTATTTTCCATTGCTTTAAATCAATCAGATGAGGTTCGTTGAACTTCCTCAGCAAGTGTTCTTAAGGTAAAGTCACACCCTTGTTATCTTGTAAACTCCATTTATTTTATTCAACTTTTTTTGATAAAATTATCAGCAACTTAACAACTATTATTGCCTATCATCAAGAAGTGACGATTTATGGTGTGAGATATTCACGAAATAAACCGATAGGTCACGTAGTATCACGCGTAAATGAGTTATTTGCATCCGAGTGCAAAGGGTGGTGATTATTCATCAATATCAAATGAATATTGTTGCCACTGTTTACGCGCTAGAATAAATTTTGGTCTAAAAGTGGTTCCCGAGGATTAAAAGAGCTTGCTATGAATTTACAGTTTCGAAGTTTCACGGTGTAGAACTTTGAACTATCGAGTATATAATTTAACAACTTGTAACAATGATCTCTACCTAAACCATAGATTTTTCTTTAGTGAAAATAAAATCTCCTTTTGAGGTTAACATTAATGATAAAAATTTTTTTTTAAATAACCTTGTACTTAGAATAAAAAGAGAAATATTTTTGATCTAAGAAGATTATTTTGAATTGAGCTCGTTGTCTTGGTTTAAAAGTTTTTAAAAGACGAATAATATAACGTAATAATAATATTAATATATATTATAATAATGGTAAATTTATTTTTATGTTTTTTTATAATCTTTTAGAAATCCTCTTTCGATTGATATATAATACACCTACTATAAATTAATTTTCACTTCCTTTATTAAAGAAGTACGAGCACCAAGACAGCTTTTGATAAAAGGCTTGATTTTTTTTAATATGAAGTTTAAATATGTCTAAACAAATTCCGAAAATTTGAAAGAGATTGCCCGATTATTAAAATAAATAATTAACTTTGAAGTTGAGCAATTTAACATTGGTCTTATGGGGTAACCTCCAAACATTGATACATTTCTGTATTTTTCTCGTAAAACTGTCGGTGAATATTTTTAAATAACTTATGGATCAAAGTAAATATATTAGTGATAAATTTAATTTTAAAAAATTGACACTTGCCCGACTAATTAAAGTGTATTAATTAAAAAAAAAATTAATGACGCCATTAGCCAATGTTGAATGTATATCTATGTATTGAGAAAAATCATATGGTTACTGCTCTCCCCTTACCGCGTTAGAGTCGATACCTATCCCCACCCTGTCTAGCGCTCATACTTCCTTAAACTTTTACGTTTTACAAAATTTATTTTTTTCAATTCTTATAAAGGCCATAGGCCGATAAGTATAGTGAATCGGCCCCAGAAAGATATCTGGCTTATAATTTCAGGGTATGTTGGTACTTATAAGATACATCGATACTGCAAGTTTCAGCTCTTCATCTAATACCGTTTTCGAGAAAATCGAAAAAAGCTGAAATTCAGGAAAAAATGATTTTCTCAGAAACCCGTGAGCCGATTGATTTGAATTTTTAATATGTTTTGGGGGATGATGGTAGCTTCTAGGAAAAAATTATGAGCTATATTGGTTGATAAGAACCTCGAAAAAAATGACGTTTTTTTTTAATTTTAATTTTTAACTATGATAGAGTTCTGGCACAATTATGAAACTATTTTTTTTTGAATTCCTCATCCAATTTCCTGTGGAATTATGACTTTTACGAATATTAATAAATGGTACGCCGTGTTGAAAAAAAATAGAAAATCATTTTTTTATTCAAAAATCAAATTATTTTAATGTTTTTATTCAATGAACAGCAGGAATGGTGCTCACTCGAATATTATTCTCGATTATGTATTCGATAACTACGTTTTAATTAATATTATTGTTCCCGTATAATAATGTTAGTTCATTCAGTAACTGTAAGATGGCACTGTTATTACAAGTCGGTAACCTTATTTTCTACTTTTAATTAAAAATGACATATTTACAAACCAACCTTCAAATTCACTGTTTACATTAAGAAAAAGCTTGGTTTGTTTTTCTATTATCGCTTGTTCCAAAATATAAAAAGGACGTATTACTCTGATTTTATATAAATACAAATATGTCTACGTCTAAAAATAACAATCCAAAATGTTGTGTTTGTTCAAAATTCATAAAAAAAGTACCTGGTGCTCCAAAACATATAGAAAGTGATGGAGATGCTGCAGAGTTTTCAACTATTTTCGACTGTCCAATTATAGTTGGTGATATTGTGTGCTCATGTTGCCGTGTAAAAAAATATAAAAAAATGAAACTTGATGATGAAGAAACGGAAACATTTGGAGAAAATGAATTGACTCCAGATATAAGTGATTTGAGTGGCATGTTAGAAAGAACTGAATCAAACTTATCATCGATGACTTTGTCGCAATCAAGCTCTGATGATTAAAAGAAAAACGTCATTTTTTTCGAGGTTCTTATGAACTAATATAGCTCATAATTTTTTTCCTAGAAGCTACCATCATCCCCCAAAACATATTAAAAATTCAAATCAATCGGCTCACGGGTTTCTGAGAAAATCATTTTTTTCTGAATTTTAGCTTTTTTCGATTTTCTCGAAAACGGTATTAGATGAAGAGCTGAAACTTGCAGTATCGAAGTATCTTATAAGTACCAACATACCCTGAAATTATAAGCCAGATATCTTTCTGGGGCCGGTTCACTATACTTATCGGCCTATGGCCTTTGTTTTTTTAATCAAAGGATATGAATAAAATGATTTTAAATCTATATCAATCCGAAATTGTCTTAAACAACTACATACACATTGAATCTACAAGTGATATGAAATAATTCTTTATCAATAGCTTACCTCTCTCCATACTCATGTGTCAAAGGTGTCGTATCATCATCAGAAAAATCATCAGGGTCGTTCGCACCCATCATACCATTCTGTTGATGGTTTTTCGGCATTGTTGAAATTGTTTATCTAAAAAATTATGAAAGATTACAAATCAATTTATTTAATTCGGCTCTGATCCCTTATAAATAGAAAAAGAAATTTGAAAAGATCACCTCCCTACAGAATGTATATCTGTATAAAATTATAATCAAATCTTTTTGCATGTTTCAAATCGTTTTAAATCATTTCAAACTCTTTTTTCTAATCAGAAATAATTGTAATCGAAAAATTTTTAAAAAAATTCTACATATTTCCGTATTAATTGTGTCACACGAATTTTATTCCTGTGTGCGTCCCTCCCTGCGCCTAGTGTTGGCAACAGATCCACACTCGGTGTCCCATAATTTTAATATTTTTATGTGAATTTATATATTGCATATTCTTTATTATTATTATATTTGAAAGGTTGTATATTATGATTATTAGTAATTTAAGAATTAATTTTACATTTGTTTCAGATATTTTTAATGAATTATTTGTAATTCATTATTATCATTATTATTATTGTATGTATCGCCGTAAATCATAGTTATAGTACCCGGTTATTATCGTAGCCTTTACTCGCACGGGTGAAATCCTATAGTATCGGTCGCGAGCAAAGGGTCTATTAAATTTGGGAAAATGGCTAAAGAGGCTCTCGTGGTCGAACACGAGGCCTCGTACGATTTATGGTGACAAAAATTAACTAGACACGCGGGAGCCCGCTTAGTGTGTGGAAGACACGCGGTAGCCTGCAGAGTGTAAGAGTGTGGATCTGGCACCTTTGTTCGAGTTTCCTTTTTCTGGTGAGTACTCACAAGTTGAGCCATTTCGTTAACCGTACACCGCTGTCTCCTGGCTAAAATATTTTGTTCTTTTTGTTTAATCGAATTTACTATCGATTTATCGGGTTGATTCCGTAGCGAGTAAGGGGTATCACGATAGAATATATATACCTGTCCCGAAAGCCGCGTGTGGGTCCCTGAATTGGCCAGTAATCGCTTAATTAAAATATTACGTCATCATTAATTATTTTTGCAAGTATTATTTTTGAACGCAAATTATATTCTGATTATTGTTAAGATTATTGTTTTTCATTGCGGCTATTGTTATTCACGAACGCAATATTGTAAATAAGTTGAAGAAAAAGTTATATATAGATTTAGTTTTAAGCAACTTTGTTTTGAATAAATTGTTTGTTTATTTTTTATATTTGCTGATTCATTAATGAATTATTTTATGTAAATTAATTCCTAAATTCTTCTCCTGCAACTCATCTTCCTATTTCAACTAATTAATATAAAGTACACGGAAAAAAACGTGCGGTAAACACACTATAGCGTATATATACTTTAGTCCATCCTGTGGTAAATGCTACTCCAAGTGTAGTTGGATTTACCGCATTTTCTTTTCCGTGTAGATTTGAGATATCGAGTTTCTCTTTTGGAAGAATTTTTTTATACTTAGATGGAATTTTTATTTTGAGATGATAAAAAAAAATTTTTTTGTTTTATTTTTGGACTACCCTACTAGCTACAATAAAGTTATCGTAAGTTACCGTAATACGGCAATGTACAGTAATAGTGGGTTCACTCAGGATTATTAGCAAAGAACGTATTATATACCTATAAAAAATTTTGAAATCTTACGGTTATGATAGACATCGGGAAGCTTTACTGAACTTTTTTGTAAAAAGTAAAATTAATGTTGTATATTTCGTTTCTATTGATAAATATGAATAAAATGTTTTATTTTTTTTTTGTTATAAAGGTTTTCTGTTTACTTTGTTCATAGTAAATATTCGAACTCCATACAGTACCTAGGTCGAAAAAATCTCAATTTTGACTTAATTTACTTTGGAGTTGTCAATTTGCTGAAGATTTTATTTCAGATCTTGACTTTTATTGACTTAAACTATTAAGTTGCCTTAAACTTGATTATTTTTGACTTAAATTATTTAGTCGCCTTAAAATTGACTTTTTTTGACTTAAACAAATAATTCGCTATCGAGTCAAGAAATCTAGCCGTTTGCTTGACTAATTTTTGTCTTTTTTTTATTTAAATTTAACGGGAGACTAATAACGAAACTAACGAAATGTTTATAAGATAGAATACTATTGATAGTTTACCTGATTAAAAAAAAAGTATTAAGACAAAGAAAAAAGTATTGAAAAGAATTGGTTTTCTAGTCAATCCAATTCTTTTCAATACTTTTTTCTTTGTCTTAATACTTTTTTTTTAATCAGGTAAACTATCAATAGTATTCTATCTTATAAACATTTCGTTAGTTTCGTTATTAGTCTCCCGTTAAATTTAAATAAAAAAAAGACAAAAATTAGTCAAGCAAACGGCTAGATTTCTTGACTCGATAGCGAATTATTTGTTTAAGTCAAAAAAAGTCAATTTTAAGGCGACTAAATAATTTAAGTCAAAAATAATCAAGTTTAAGGCAACTTAATAGTTTAAGTCAATAAAAGTCAAGATCTGAAATAAAATCTTCAGCAAATTGACAACTCCAAAGTAAATTAAGTCAAAATTGAGATTTTTTCGACCTAGGTACTGTATGGAGTTCGAATATTTACTATGAACAAAGTAAACAGAAAACCTTTATAACAAAAAAAAAATAAAACATTTTATTCATATTTATCAATAGAAACGAAATATACAACATTAATTTTACTTTTTACAAAAAAGTTCAGTAAAGCTTCCCGATGTCTATCATAACCGTAAGATTTCAAAATTTTTTATAGGTATATAATACGTTCTTTGCTAATAATCCTGAGTGAACCCACTATTACTGTACATTGCCGTATTACGGTAACTTACGATAACTTTATTGTAGCTAGTAGGGTAGTCCAAAAATAAAACAAAAAAATTTTTTTTTATCATCTCAAAATAAAAATTCCATCTAAGTATAAAAAAATTCTTCCAAAAGAGAAACTCGATATCTCAAATCTACGAGATGCGCAACGATTTTCCGTTTTCCCATATAAATAATACATCTGAAGGAATTATTTCTTATAATTTTGGTTTACTGCTCTTATAAAAATTAAATTTTTAACAAAAAAGCTCTCATAAAGTTTTCTCGTAATCTGAACTGACAAAAAGTTATCAGGCGATAAATCTTTGCGACTAAATTGAGCTTAACCGAATATGATTTCAAAACGATTAACAAATTTCGATAAATTTACCGTACTGTCAAGCCTCTTAAGGATATTAGATTATTTATAATCTAGCTTGTGAATATTATTTTACGTATTTTTAATAAATATTACATAATTATCAATAATAGATTATTAATGACAACGTATAAATTTCACCATTCATATAATAAAATATGTTATATAGATAAATTTTATGGCATTTAATTTCAAATTTACTTTACAAATGTATTGAAAAAAAAATTAGAAAAACGGTTCACCCTAAAGGCCATCCCTGCAACTTCTCGCTAATTCCATACCTGGGCGCTTAAAATTGTACTTATGACATTTTTGAGATTTTTGAGCTCAAAATATAATTTATGTGATATTTTGAGCTAACTGAGTTCAAAGAGATGATATTTTGATACATTTGAGCTCCCCAGCTCAAAAGTCTGATAGAAGTTTCATAGAACACTATTTTTGGAATTTTCAAATCGCAATAACTTTTGAATAGATTAACCGATTTTCACGCGGTTGGCGGCATTTGACGCAGTTTTATCATCCTCATAAGTTATTTTCAGGTTTTAATTGATCGAACCGAAAATTTCAGAGTAATCCCGAAAAAACACTTTTTTCGTTTTTATTTCGTTCACAATAACTCACGAATGATTAGTTTTTGGAATTGATCGGTAAAGCTGTTTAAAAGTTATTCCAAAAAAACCACTTTTCAAAAAAATTTTTTTTGTAGTTTTTTTGCGATTTCTCAAAATCTACTGGTCCGAATCGTTCCAAATTATATTCAAAATCTAAGTTTGGTCAAGCCCTTTCGAATGGCACCAACCGCGATCAAATCGGTCAAGCCGTTCAAAAGTTATAAGCGGTTCACATACTTTCACACACACACACACACACACACACACACACACACACACACACC